CACCGAGGAAGCGAATAACACAATAATAAAATTCAAAACGGTATTGATGAATCAAAATCCAATCAAAACTATTTAGTTTGATTGGTTCAAGAAGATTGGTGGACTTGAGCTGGTGGTGCCAGTTTTCCAAAATTTGAAAGCTGTTTACACCTCCAGTGCTGCCGCTCTTGCCCCTTAGTGCCCCCTAGGGAATGCCCCTTTCCAGGGCACCATTACCACACCTGTCAGGGTGTGTGTGTCCTTTTAAAAACAAACGAAAAACACCAACCTGCACCCAAATCTGGTGGAAGGAAATAATTCAGCTGGAAACAAAAGCAGCTCTTCTGCCAGTAGACATGGTACCAGCCTGTTTCATCTGGTGCCCCTCTGTGCACAGCAACGGGCAAGCAGGCAGAGATTTTTGCGCCCAGCTTCCGCCTGAGGGCTTTCCATTGGGTATCTCATTGTCCACAGCAAGAGAAAGATGCTGGATGAGAGAGGCCCTTTTTCTCTGAAGTTTACAAGCGCAAAATATTCTGGTGGTCGATTCTGTTTTCATTTGCAGTGATGGGAAGCCAGGGTGCTCATCTCACCCAAATGAACTGGGCGTTTGCAGCTAATAGGAATAAGAATCTCTGGCCGAGTGACTCGCCCATCTGCAATTGACAAAATATTTGGAGAACTCTCGCTGTTCCTAGTAGGCTTGCCCACTCTCTCCGGTTGCATTTTTGGGAGGGGAAGGAGAACCTGCACGTTTTGTGTGCTTGCTTGCCTCTGCGATTGTTGCTGGCAAGAGACATGCATGTGGATTCGAATTCGATCCCCAGCATCACTAGATAAAAGGGTCTTGAGTAAGCGGGTGATGGCTGAAGAGCTGTGACCTTGGAAAGCCACTGCCAGTCAGAGTCGTCACTCCTGGACCGGAGGAACAAATAAACCAAATAAGAGAGACTCCCTGTCTGAAAACCTGGAGAGCTGTTGCCGGTCAGTGTAGACAATGCTGAGTTAGATGACTCAGGATAGGGCAGTATCCTGGTAGGAGATTTGAGGCTAAGGCTCTCCAAAGTGCTCTGCTCCAGTTTTCAAGGGCAGTCGGTGCTCAAAACCTTCCCAATCCTATTTCGCTGCAAATGCAAGGAATTGAATTGAGAAAGATCGGGAGGGCATACTGGTTTGTTCTCCAAAACAGAGGATGCTTTGGGCCCATAAAACAGACCCTAGGTTAGGGCTCCCCTTCTGCCACCAGGCAGGCCCACCCCAACCCAAACATCTGTCCCACAGCGTTTCACAGAGAGCAGGTTTTTTCAAAAAACAACAACTGATATTTTCAGCTGACCAAATGGCTGCAGGCAGCTCAAGTAAGGAAGTCCAGATGCCACAGTGGGCAAGATACACAAGTACCGACCATCACATTTGGGTTTGTTTTGTCCCGTTTTCCTGTTGGTTCCCTTTATCTGCCCTTTTGGAGACCAAAATCTGCAGCCGCTGTCATTTTCAGTATCTTTAGAAGCTGCAGGGGGTTCAGTTGTTTTGTTAGCTGGTCAAATGTGAAAATAATTTATAGCTTGATCTAACTTAATAATAAACCAAACCTTTACAAAAAAAAAGCAGATATTTTCCACATTAGCTCCTGGTTTAGAAACACACACACACACACACCCTCTGCAATGCAGCAATTCGTTTTTTGGGTAGGTGGAAATACTGGTCATTGTTCTTTTAATCCTTTTGCAAGTTTTATCCTGGAGCATTTTCCAGAACAGATGGGATCGCCCATTTTTGCGGCCACCAAAAGGGTTTACAGATGGAAGTGTAGGTAAGGCTTAAGCCTTTCAGAGCATGGAAATGAAGGGTCCAATTTGCTAACTGCAAATTGAAACCTTGGCAGCCTGACACATTAAGCTGCAAAGCCCCGTTGCTTTAAATCACCCTTGGTCCACCTCATACCCACCAGATGTTTTGAACTTGAACTCCAATCAGTCTTTGCTGATTTGGACTGATGGGGAGTTGTAGCACAAAACATCTGGAAGGTGCCAGGCAGAGGCCAATTTAAGTAGCTTTTGTGTATCACTGTGGCTCTTCTGTAGCAGAAATTCCTGGTTGTTGTCCATTTAAAGAACAGGAGTGCTGCTTTTTTCCTCCGTGAATGTTTTCCTTTTCTCATGATTGGGACTCCTGAACCTGCGAGAAATAATTTAATTTGAGCCGAAGTGTTGAGTAGCAACATAGGGCTCGATTTGTGTTTTCGCTGCGGCTTCCTGGCTCCTAGCGATTCTTATGTTTTCTTAATGTGGATTCTTGAGTTTCTGATGCAAGAGAGAGGGCGAAAACACCGCAGATATGAAGAAATGTGTACACTTGGATTGGAAATGTGGGAAGGGGTGTATTTGCAAATAAAGAGGGACTTAGACATCCCTGTTTCCCTCCCCACCTTTCACATTGACAGTGTTAATTTGAGCGTGGGCTCAACCCCACGACCTACTTTGTATCCGATTTCAGCCTTGGAAAATGTGACGATAGCAATAAAAAGAGTGCCTCTGAGCATGCGCTGCAGTTGTCTTTGTATTCCCTCCCTGCCAAGTAACTACAGCCAGTCTTCAAGCATCCAAGCACTGTTGGAAGGTGGAGCATGGCCCAGCTGGAAGAAATTGGGAAGCCTGAGACCCCCAAGGGGTTGTTGGCAATGCACACCCCACCAGTCCTGTGCTGGCTGGTAGCTGACGTTCGCCGATACCTGGAGTTTCTGCAAGGTACACCATTCCTGTTCTACATCCTGGTGGGCAGATCAAGCCCTGGCCAGAGAACCAAAAATCAACCTAAGGCAGGTTGCACATGGGACACACACAGGTGGGAGATTTGGGACTGGGAGAGAGGAACCCACACGTTGCATCTGGAGTCTTTTGTGCAACTTGCGGCACATTCTTCCAAGAAGACTCAAGGCTGGGCACATTCTTGCATTGGTGCATGGGATAGACTGTGTACTGGGCTCTAAGAGTTGGGTACCAGAGAGAGAGAGAGAGAGCTCTGATTGCTAGTTTGGCTGTGGAACTGTAGTTGGAAGGGACCCCAGGGGTCATCTAGTCCAACCCCCTGCAATGCAGGAATCAATACTAAAAGCATCTTTGACACTTGGCCATTTAACCTCTGTATAGGGAGTGGGTGGTGCTGTGGTCTAAACCACTGAGCCTCTTGGGCTTGCTGATTAGGTCAGCGGTTTGAATCCCTGCGACGGGGTGAGCTCCTGTTGCTCGGTCCCTGCTCCTGCCAACCTAGCAGTTCGAAAGCATGCCAGTGCAAGTAGATAAATAGGTACTGCTGTGGCAGGAAGGTAAACGGCGTTTCCGTGCGCTCTGGTTTCCGTCACGGTGTCCCGTTGCACCACAAGCGGTTTAGTCCTGCCGGTCACATGACCCGGAAAGCTGTCTGTGGACCAACGCCGGCTCTCTTGGCCTGAAAGCGAGATGAGCGCGCCAACCCCATAGTCACCTTTGACTGGACTTAACCGTCCAGGGGTCCTTTACCTTTACTTAACATTCTTTTGAAAGCCCTCCAACAGCCCACCACCTTCTGAGACGGATACTTCTACGCCAGGGAAGTGGCTCGGTGGGTATGGGTTTCGGGGTCTCTCTCCAAAGGAGGAGTCAACAGCTGAGCAGGAGGATGTGTCCTCTGAACGTGAAAGGTGAATCTCTGGTTAAAGAAACATTTCAAGTACAGTGGTACCTCGGGTTAAGAACTTAATTCGTTCCGGAGGTCCGTTCTTAACCTGAAACTGTTCTTAACCTGAGGTACCACTTTAGCTAATGGTTCCTCCCACTGCCGCCACACCGCCACTGCGCAATTTCTGTTCTCATCCTGAAGCAAAGTTCTTGTTGTTGTTGTTTAGTCGTTTAGTCGTGTCCGACTCTTCGTGACCCCATGGACCAGAGCACGCCAGGCACTCCTGTCTTCCACCGCCTCCCGCAGTTTGGTCAGGCTCATGTTTGTAGCTTCGAGAACACTATCCAACCATCTCATCCTCTGTCGTCCCCTTCTCCTTGTGCCCTCCATCTTTCCCAACATCAGGGTCTTTTCCAGGGAGTCTTCTCTTCTCCTGAGGTGGCCAAAGTATTGGAGCCTCAACTTCACGATCTGTCCTTCCAGTGAGCACTCAGGTCTGATTTCCTTAAGAATGGATGCGTTTGATCTTCTTGCAGTCCATGGGACTCTCAAGAGTCTCCTCCAGCACCATAATTCAAAAGCATCAATTCTTCGGCGATCAGCCTTCTTTATGGTCCAGCTCTCACTTCCATACATCACTACTGGGAAAACCATGGCTTTAACTATACGGACCTTTGTTGGTAAAGCAAAGTTCTTAACCCGGTACTATTTCTGGGTTCGTGGAGTCTGTAATCTGAAGGGTCTTTAAGCCGAGGTACCACTGTAGTAGGCTCACTGGAAGGACAGATCGTGAAGCTGAGGCTCCAAGACTTTGGCCACCTCATGAGAAGAGAAGACTCCCTGGAAAAGACTCTGATGTTGGGAAAGATGGAGGGCGCAAGGAGAAGGGGACGACAGAGGACGAGATGGTGGGACAGTGTTCTCGAAGCTACCAGCATGAGTTTGACCAAACTGCGGGAGGCAGTGGAAGACAGGAGGGCCTGGCGTGCTCTGGTCCATGGGGTCACGAAGAGTCGGACATGACTAAACAACAGCAACAACCACTGTAGTGGAGCTGGGGAAAGTTGCTTCCTCCTACCCCAGCTAGACCTCATTGGCCAGCAAAAGGGTAGATGGATCTTGCAGTCTGACTTGATCCAAGATGAAGCTTCACTTTGTTCCGGTAACACACTCTAAAGAAAGGTGGAGAGGCATTATGCAAGATGTGAGTTGGCCAACACCACTATGCTGTCATTTCTGGCTGAGTTCTTTGTTGCTTTTGCACAATTGCTTAATCTCGACGTGCTTTCCAAAAATGAGAATATGTAGTGCTTTCTGATTTGTGGTTTTTTTTTTAAGGGGAAAAAAAAGAATCCGACACAAGGTTCCCCAAAAGGATGTCCATATTCATCTTTTATTCACACAACATGGAGTTGCCTCTACATTTCCATGCTTCTTAATTACAAGAGTTAGTCAGACAACGTTACACAGTAGGTTGCCCCTCTAAATTGCCACGGGAGGCCCCAGGAAACGTCCCGTCTCCATTCAGCCATCACTACAAGGGACCCAACGGCCTTCCTTGCTTGCCCCTTGCCCAGCGCCTGAGGTGATTGTCCGAGGAAAAGATTGGGGGGATCGGAGGGGGGTGGGGAGAGATCAGCTTTGCAAATAGGTGGGGAGGAAGGGAAGGTTAGCATGGAGTCGCTTGCGTCTCTCAACTGTAAGGCCAAACGCGGGGTTCAAGCAACCTCAATCCGGTAAGTCAAACATGTTCTGGTTTTCTGCATGGGCAAACACGCCCGGCAAATCAAAATGATAAACCACCCAATAAGGAGAGAGGGAAAAAACCCTTATATTGAACCTCCGTCTGCAATAGTTTCCAGTTCTAGACAGTTCATAGAATCGGAAGAGTCTGAAGGGACCCAACGGGCCGTTTAGCACAGCCCCCTGCAATGTTGGAATCAAGTTTGAAATAAAACCAACTTGGGAAAGGAGACCAGGCCAAATCTCTCTCTCTCTACCCCAGCACTAGGCTCCTCTCCCGGATTTAGCGGTACTTGGTTTCTTCTCTGCAATTGGCATTTCACACACTCAAGTCCTGCTCTGCCCGTCTCAATGTGGGAGTTAGTGACCTAGCCACCCAGAGAGGCTGGGACAACCTGGTCAGATGGGCAGGGTACAAGTAATAAATTATTATAAATCATTATGACACGGTGGGCTGCAGGGAACACCGGCATGTGTTAGGACCCAAGCTGAGCCACAGGTGATTTGGCGAGAGTCAAATCCCAGGTGGCAATAGATATTGCGCATGTGGCTGGCTTAAAAGGTCTTTTCCACACCCAGGTGGTTAGACTCCTTTTTGGAACCCCGAGGCAACAAGCCACTCAATTTTGACACGAGTCTTGTCAAGGCCGCTCACCTTGTCAGCACAGACAACGCCCCATGGCCAGCGCATTAAAACATTTATATGCGCCCATCCTTAGAAACCAGACAAGAATTAGGCCCGCAGTTCAGTGTGGATGTGTTTTTTTGTTGTGTTGTGTTTTTTAAATCCTACTGTATGCTGCAAATATTACAATATCTCACAGGACCAGTGACGGCTTAAGATGATTTAATTACGGTTTCTGGTGCTGAAACAACACGGAGACAATTTACCCTTTCGAAACGTTAAGCTGGTCTCTCTGGGTGAAGAGATGCGACGTGAATGAATCACTTCTGGTACTGCCACAGGCAGAGAGTGCTCTTTTGTGGAGCGAGGTTTGGACTAAGACCCCACATTTTATAAGGGTGATTAATGAACAGTTCACCACAAGAAAGAGAGAAAATCCATTTCCTTGCTTGCAGAGAATTCTACTTGCAAAAGACTTGCTAGCACAAGGCGAATCCTACACTCCTCTGCCTATGCTAAGTAGGTCAAACAGGAAGTCTGTTCAGCCCAGAATGAGAGCAGCTGCCAAGGGGAGTCCAGCTGTTTGGGATTAAGGGGGCGAAGCCCAGAGCTCACTGCCCGAATCCCCTTCCTCACCAATTCCAGAGTCTTCTCTCTCCTTCCTGATCCTACGGAACGATTAGTGGTTAATCCCAGAGACGTTACAAAGAAGTCGAAGTTTATGTTTGTGTCTGTGTTTTGCTGAAGGAGCAAATTAATTTTAGATAATTAACTTGGGTCGCTGCTGGTGGGTTGGGTTAGGGTTAGGGTTAGGGTCCAAAGGAACTCAAGACACATTCGGACACTCCTAAGGAGAAAGCAACCCAGTTGCTGAGTGGATGGAGCTCAAGAACCGAAGAACCGGGTTTGTGTCCGCCTTGGCTAAAGCGGCATTTGCGGAAAGTCGTCATGAAAATGAGGCAGCCTCCAGGAGGGGCAGGGCCCTGCAGAAATCAAGTGAAGCTGCAATCCTATACTAAACCTGACTGCAAGCAAACCTCGTTGAGCTCAATGCAATGGGTGTAGGACCTTTGCGCTGTAGCACAGTTCGTTTCAGTCTGCTTTTTCAATTTTTCATCACTGGTTTTCTAACTAAAAATGTTTGCGTCAGGAATTGGGCCCTTTGAAGCTATAGCTGCTACCTGTACGTGACCACTTTATGTCATGTTAAATTTGCATGGGAAAAAAACACCGTCCGACTCGACTACAGGGAGTAGTGGGGGAGAGTGAGCCGTCATGCTTTTTTAATAAACAAAAGGACTGCACCCAGGGTTCCTTGCAAGATCTCCACCGGTTGCTCAGAAAGCAGCATGCTGAACAACTTTTTCCTCTGGCAAAGCACTCTTATGGCCCATCGTAAGAGAGGAAAAAGAGCCCCACCAGGACAAGACCAAAATCCAGAATCCAGAATCCCACAGCGGCATGTCAGAGATGCCTTCAGGAAGCTCTCAAGGAGGACAGAAGAAGAGGAGTCCTTCAACTGTTGCTGAAAGGCCTGCTTTGAGCTTCCACCTCCCTGAAACTTCTAACTCACCCGGACCTTCCCTGATGCTTCAGCAAAGTGGAGCAATTTGCTCTCGCCAGCTGCTGCCCACTTGCTATTTGGGTTTTGTTTGGTTCCAGCTCAGCTCTGGTGGATATTCCTGCCACCTCTGGACCTCAGAGTGCTTCGCCCGAGGGCATCATGCATGGTTTGGAGCTGTTTAGCTAAGACCCCTTAGATACTGTGGCCGCTTGAAAACAGACATGCTAGCAATCCCTAGACTCTCTCGGCGGCGGATGTGTCTCATTTGCCCCTCTGTTCCTCCTGTTAAATTTATGGCACGCACTGCATTTCTCCGTTTAAAAATAAAATGAAATGAAGGGATCCAAGGGATTTATTTGCAGCGGTGTCTCTTGAAACAGCTGCCCAAAAGCATGGAAACGGTGCAGACCTGGGTGAATTGCAGTGCCAGTTCCCAAGAGGAAAAAGGAGAGAGCAAGCTAAACAGCCCCCCCCCCAAATGTCCCAAGCAGTTAGGATTTCAAACCAACTGGAATTTGCAAATGTAAATGGCTCGGGCTACAGCTTTGTCAGTGGCCCATTAAGGTGTTAAGGCACTTGTTTAGATTAGGTTCTTTGCTCAAGAGGTGTCCAAAACCAAGTCAGGATTCTTGTCTCAATTAACCCCTTATTTTCTTCAATGTGTCTGAAGAACAAGAAACGGGGGGGTTCGTCAAATTTGGACAGCGGTAGGTAGTTGCAATAAGCCTAGGTGCACTCAGTAAGCTGCCCTGACTTTCCTGGAGAGCAGAGAGGGAGAGCGAGTGTTGCTAGCTACTTGGGACAGGTGGGTGGGAGCAGTTTGGGCCAGACACCAAGGTGCTAGTCCACAGTGACTCCTAACGGTGAAAAGCAAGACGCACATCGCAGCCGGGTGCCTTTGCAGTTTTAAGTGTGGAAGGATTGTCAAAGCGAGGGGTGCGAAACACACAGGCAGAACTGGCCACCATTCCATAAGAAAGGTTGGCCGGTTTCCCGGAATGGCAGCAAAGTTACCTTCATTCACCAGAATAACTTAATGGAAAATAGGCTTGGAAATTAACCGAAGAAGCGGGAGTTGGATGCAAGGGGAAAGCGGGGTGGGCATGGAGTTGCAGCCCCCCCAATCCCAGGAAAGGCAATGAAGCAAGGGGTGGGGGCTGACTTCACCAAATTCCACCTTTTCTCCTGATACTGGTTACCTTCTCTCAACCACCTCGCTGTTGCGTTTTAGCTTTAAAGGACTAGAAAGTTTCTGCAGCTACAGCGAAATGCCAAATGCAGACCGTAGATGGGTGCTATTTAATCCTTTAATCTCAATTAGAAAGCTCTGGTCACCAGAAAAGGGTGGGTGTGGGTGGGGGAATAAATATATTTTTGGTGAAACTCAAGGAAGCCATTCCCCACCCCGAACAGCAATAAAATAAATAGCAAAGATAGAGTTTAGAGCATTTCCCACCCCCACCCCCATACAAATAAAGAGCCCCAGTGATGGGTAATAAGATATATATACACCTCTGGATTAAAACTATGTTGTTAGCAAATTTATAATGGATTTTTTTAACCCTTTAAACCTCTATATAATAAATTCTTACTGGCTGAGCGGAGGAGAGGCAGGAACCCTCTGGCCCTGGAAGATTGCACAGGCAAAGGTTCTCCTGGGGAATGGATGGACACATCTGCGGTGGGGGGGCGCTAACATGCGGCCATCCAGATGTGGCTGAACTTCAACTCCCATCAGGCCCAGTTGCATGGCCAACAGTCAGTGATGGTGGGAGATGCTGTTCAGCAACCAGCGAATCTGAGACGCCACATTTAACTCTCCAAGATCCCCTTTCCTAAATCAGTCTGTGGAGTTACAGAGAATTCAATGACGTCCTCCAAATCACAGCTCGGGCTGCTAAGACCGGCCGTTGGCCAGGGCCATCCAAAATGCCTCACGGGCTACTCCCACTGCCCTGGCTGCCTCCACACGGGGAGAAGACGACCGCTGTCTTTGGAGACAGTTTGCTATTGTTCTTCTCATCAAGGAAGCCCAAGGAAGTTCCTTAGGGTTCCCCAAATGGAAAAGCCAATGGGTGGGTCTCTTTTGACAACAAAAAAGGTCACCCGGAAGGTAAATGCCGCTTCCACGCCCGTCCCAGGGCACTGTTGTGCCACCATAGATGGCATCACTTCTCTCTGTGAGCTCTGATTCCAGAGTCTCGCTTAGCTTCTTGGGGTCAAGTGATGGGTCTACAGCAATGGGTCCCTGGGGGAAGGGTGGGGGGGGTGCTGTGGCCCTAGGACAGGAGAGGAGGATAACCCCCGGGTGATTTGGCTGGAAGGCTTGTGCCTCCATTTGGGTGCGACACAGGGAATCGATGCAGACAGCTGCTCTGGCAAAAGAGCTTCCTTCTCTCCCAACCCCTGGTAAAAGTCCCCGCTGACTCTCCTTCCACCTCCAACTTGCAATCCTCACGCTCGACGTTGCCTCCATATATGGCTCCCGCTCGCTTTCACCCCCAAAGTTTATGCTTTCGGAGGGGGAAAGCACCTTCGACTTCCCCAGACTACAGAGGCGCCGTTTGCCCTCCCCGGCCGCCATTCATGGACCCTCTCACCGAGGCCTTCTGCAAAAACCCTTTAGGCTTGCGCAACTGCGTCGTCCTGTGGCAATGAGTTACACAGACCCCACTCCGCTGCTGAAATAAGACACGCTTCTTGTACCCATATTCCGACATGCCAAGAACAGGCAAAAGAAAGAGGGGAGGAAGCGAAGGAGCTACCAAAAGCAAGGAAGTCTCTCTTCTGAGACGCTTGGGTGTGTTTTAAGAAGCGAGACTGTACGCCCAGGGGTTGGCGGGAGGCCTGGCCGATTCTCTGTGTTGGATAAAGGCACTTTCTCTAGATCGAGAGCCACGCAGAGCAGCTGGCACACAACTCCCGAGCGTGCCTGACGTCTGAGCACGAGAGGAAACCCTCTTGTGTTGGCAGTGGTTGCCCGGACGCCCCACTGCAGCCTTGCCCAAAACAGCCATCGTGAGATGGGGAAGCTCTGTTTGAGAATCGGCACGCCAGTTCTCTGGAAGCAACAAGGGGGGGTTCCACACACGGCGGAGGACCCCCCCTCTGAGTGATGAAGGCCAGCGGTGTGGAAGAAACTTCGGCGTAAGTGGGAGCACTGGCCTCCGGAGGGGATGTTTCCGCTCTGCGCCCCATCTAGTCCAGCCCCCTGTGCCCCCTTGTGGGACACAAGATCACACACACACACCCCGTTTTTGTTACAATAATCCAAGCCTGTTGGGGGGGCCATGGAGCCGTTTGGCAGGCAGGACAAGGGGGCGCCAAGTGTCTCCTTACGGCAGCTGTCATAGACTTCTGACACACACCCCAAATCCCCACCCCACATCCCAGGGGCTCTTGGGAGTTTATAGCATCCATAAAAGAAAACGTCTGTTCTTGGCAGTGTTAGAGTGGATGGGAGGCCTTTCCACACAGCTCGAGGAAGAGGCATCCTCAAACATTTTGAGGAGACAGGGTTACTTTACAGCCCTGAAATTTTGGGAGGTGTTGTTTTCCTCGTAGAAAACTAGCCTCTGATGGAATAATACGAGAAGACTCCTGCAAAGATGTTACTCCAAAAGGGGAGAAATAGTTATGTAGGACAGCAAGCCAAAATACGCCCAGGTTCTCAGTGCTGGGAAGGCTTTTCCCGAAAATGTTCTTTTGTTTCTCTCCCTTAGATGGTAACGTTTTGGAAAGGGGGAGCGAAATCCACAGCTCACCCCAAATGGAAAGAAAGCAGTTTTTAAGCCTCCTTATGAAACAACGGTTGCAGGGCCTTCATTAAGAACGGCCGCCAGAAAGCAAGAATTTGAGGGAAAGGAGTCTTACGCATGACACAAACCCAGGGTTCAAAGTGCAATGGGCGGCTTGGGCAGCCTCCAATGCCGACCTGTGTGGAAATGCCTCCCGCACCCCGATTCAACGCTTCTTTAATGCCGAGACGGCTCCCAAAACAGAAGTTTGCATGCGGCGGAGGGAAAACACCAGCCCTTCTGCTAGGTGGGGAGCACAGACGCAGCCTGGGACCCGGCAGGGCTGCACCCCCTTTCCCAACCCAACCGACAAGAGATGCAACCCAAATTTAAGCAGCCATTCCAGGAGAGGCGCATAAAGGAGAGTCTGTGGGCCTTGGCGGCCCCACGCAAAAATTGGGGGCAGGCTGCACAGATAGCCAAAGGAGACGGGGGGTTCTGGACGGGGCGCACCAACACAGCAGACTGTTTCTCAGTAGCCAGCTCTGAAATCCCACGGCGGGGGCCTGACAGCATAACCGGCCCATTCTCTGGGGCGTTGGGAGAGAGAGGGGGGAGAAAGTGTTGGGGAGACCATGGCTTTGGCCCCTTTTGGCAGTGACTGTGCTGGAAGAGGGAAGGGAAACGGGGTGGGAGGACTGCGCCGAAAAGGGCGCCCGGGTCTGCGTGGCTCCATCCCTTGCGTTCGTTCAACCCGGAGCCTCGGGTGGGAGATGGCCAGCCTGAACTACAACTCCCGCCAGGCACCGTCCCGTGTGGGAGACAGGCTGGGAAGATGGGCTCAGGGGTCTCCGGTTGACGTAGCAGCAGAAGTACCTGTCTTACCTGACAGACAGCCTCCTTCACCTCAAGAGGGTCTGGACTAATGGGGATCTGACCTGTGGGAGTGGGGCACCCTCCTTCCACCTTCTGCGTGATGCCCTCGCCCTCTGGGGGCCTCTCCTCTGGTCTCAAAAGGGCCACCTTGGCAATCAGAGGCCCCGTGCTGGACCCAAACACTCCCTCAGCTGCCTTTATGCTCCACGCCAACCCCCAACTCCTGTCCTGACCCCTTCGCCCCCCCAAAAAGTGCAGGTTGGGGAGGAGGAAGGCAGTCCCCTGCCTCTCCCTCCTCAACCCCACAGTTCACCTGAATCTTGCCAGGTTGCCCATTAATGCAGACTCTCCGGATCAGAACTATCCTGTGAGGAACTCCTGCTGTTCGTCCCAACGACTGGGCTGCTCTGTTTCCAGGCAGGGGGCTGCTGTGGGGCAGTGTGGGTCATTTTGTCCACAGCAGAAGCAGCAGGGGAACGCCGTGCACCCCAGAGAGGCAGGCCAAGCGGGCAAAACCGGAGCGACCTCCCTTTCTCTCTCTCTCTGCCCGGGTGCCGAAAGGACTTTTCTTTTGCTGCGTCAAGAACAGTTCTTGCGGACCGGCTGGCTCTGGGGTGGAGGTTTGGGGTGGTGGTGGTGGTGGGGCTTTTGACGGGTCGGCGATACGCCCATGTCTGTTTGGGCTCGCTGGCACCAGCGCTATAGGACCCCTTCCATGAAGCTCGTGTCCAAGTGCTGGATCAGTACCCGGATAAAGGACATTTCCTTGCGGGTGTTCTCGAAAATGATGCGCGGGTCATCCGACTGGCAGCGCAGGCAGTTGGGGGCCATCACCATGGCCAGGTTGTTGACGTCCATTTTGGTGACCGCCACATTGGCCGGCTGCACAAACACCTGGCGGGGGGGGGGGGTAGGGGAGGGAGAAAGGAGAGGCGTTATGGTAAAGGTGTAAAGGGACCCCTGAGCATTAGGTCCAGTCGTGGCCGACTCTGGGGTTGCGGCGCTCATCTCGCTTTATTGGCCGAGGGAACCGGCGTACAGCTTCTGGGTCATGTGGCCAGCATGACTAAGCCGCTTCTGGCAAACCAGAGCGGCGCACGGAAACGCCGTTTACCTTCCCGCCGGAGTGGTACCTATTTATCTACTTGCACTTTGACATGCTTTCAAACTGCTAGGTTGGCAGGAGCAGGGACCGAGCAATGGGAGCTCACTCCGTCGTGGGGATTCGAACCGCCGACCTTCTGATCGGCAAGTCCTAGGCTCTGGGGTTTAACCCACAGCGCCACCCGCGTCCCTTGGCGTTATGGTAGGCAGCCACAAACCCATCCTGTTTGTAAGCTAAGAAAAGTGTCGTGGTGATTAGGGCTGGGTGACCCCTGGTTTTCAACAGTGTGATATATCCCCAGCTAAATATCGTGACATACTGATATATCACAATGTCTGAAATAAGGATGGAGCTAGGCATTGGCTGGCTTCCCACACTGTTTCCCCGCATTGTGATTTTTGCATGGCACACATACAATTTGCGATATATCACAAAGTCAAAAATTGTGAAACCAGTACAGTCAAACCTTGGAACATTTCGTCTCCCAAACGCCACAAACCTGGAAGTAAATGCTCTGGTTTCCTGACGTTTTTCAGAAGCCGAACGTCTGGTGCGGCTTCTGCTTCAGTGTAGAAAGCTCCTGCAACCAATCGGAAGCCGCGTCTTGGTTGTCGAACATTTCGGAAGCCAAATGGGCTTCCAGAACGGTTTACGTTTGAGAACGGATTACGTTTGAGAAGAGATTACGTTTGACTGTACCAGGATATGGGCTTCAAACCAGTTTTGCATGATATATCACCCAGCCTTAACGCACATCACCCTCTGCCAGGGCCCACGTTCCTGTTCCGGGCTGGATCCTGCTTACCTGGAGGAAGCGGATGAGGTAGCAGAGCACCATCTTGTTGATCCTGGGCATGGAGTGGACGACGGCAATCGCGGCCTCGGGGTTCTCGTAGTGGGTGATGCACTGTTCGTAGAAGTCGTGGGGGATCAGGGGCTCCTCCAGCTCTCGATACCAGAGTTTCAGCAAGGAGGCTGCAGGGGAGGGGAATTGGGGGGTGGGGGGTCGGTCAGGGAAGAAAGAGGCCGAGCCACACTGTCAGTTTGCATTTCTTAGCGCAGAAAGTATTGATCTGATGTGTAGAGATCGTTCCTATTCTGCTTCATTCAAGAGGGTTCTGGAAGCTTCTCTGCGTGAAAGAAGCAAGCAGAAGGCTCTTGATGTTTGGGTTATTCCTTCAGAGAAGCTGAGCACAGCTGGTCCTGATCTCTCTTCTTCAAGGTCATGCTATAATAAGAGGCCAGAAGGAGTCTGGGTTTCACTCTTTCCCTTTCTATCTCTTTTCATTCTGGTGTGGTGTTCTGTATACAGTGTTAAGGTTTAGTCATATTATGTGTTGTGTTGTGTTGTGTTGTGTTGTGTTGTGTTGTGTTGTGTTGTGTTGTGTTGTGTTGTGTTGTGTTGTGTTGTGTTGTGTTGTGTTGTGTTGTGTTGTGTTGTGTTGTGTTGTGTTGTGTTGTGTTGTGTTGTGTTGTGTTGTGTTGTAAGCTGCAAATGGATTTCTTATGGACAGTGCCAATCCTGAATGTATTGGATTTGTGCCCATTATGCAGTAAAGCTCTGCTGGATGAAATACAATTTCCTCTGATCAATTTTTTTTTGGAATCCTGCAACGTGTTTAAGTTGTTAATTGGCTAAGGATATGTTGGGATCTGGATCATATTGAGTAGAATTTCAGTGACACACACAGGCCCATTTCTGACCAAACTAAGCCTCCTAGAGGACAGTACACATCAGGAAGTTTAGTTGGGTCAAAATAAAGCACCATATTTTTCGCTCCATAGGGCGCACCTGGTTTTTTTTTTGGGGGGGGGGGAATAAAGAAAACAAATTTTATTCCCCCCCCCCCAGCCCCAAAGAGCAAAGAAGCCAAGACAGCGAGCGGGATCCATCCTGCTGGCTGTCTTGGCTTCCTCCTTAGCCACGCGCAACCTCTCCAGTGGGGAGAGGCTGCACGTGGCTTCGTTTTTAGCCGCGGGGCTGGGGAGGCCCGAGCTTCCCCTGACCCCAGCCCCCAAAACAGGTCCAGGAGCGGCGGCAAGATTGCGCACAACCTCGCCGCCGCTCCTGGAGCTTGCGGGGCTGGGGGCGGGGGAAGCCCAAGCTTCCCCCGACCCCAGCCCCCAGAACAGGCAGCTATCCGCAAGCCTTCCAAGCGCAGCGGGAACTCCTGCTGTGCTCAGAAGGCTTGCGGATAGCTGCCTGAAGCCTGCATTCGCTCCATGGGACGCACACACATTTCCCCTTCATTTTTGAAGGGGGGAAAGTGCTTCCTATAGAGCGAAAAATACGGTATACACTTTCAGAGTTAACGCTGAATGCATTACTCCTGGTAAATGAGCCACCACAACCACTAGCGCAGCGGTTCTCAACCTGTGGGTCCCCAGATGTTGTCAGACTACAACTCCCATCATCCCTGAGCTCTGGTCTTGCTGGCTAGGGGTGATGGGAGTTGTAGTCCAAAAACATCTGGGGACCCACAGGTTGAGAAAGGCTGCACTAGCGGGTCGTGAAATTTGTGTCCCGGGCTTTTCGGACTTGTCTAAACATGTACCATCTGAAACCAATGGGGCGCATTGGTTGCAGATGTGAAATACATAGGCATTTTTATCAGCTCTCCTACCCCACTATTGTGAGATAAATTAGAGGGGGGACGGGGAGACCAATGTTTTGTAATGCAGGCCCTGCTTGATCACCTGCAAAGTATTTTCCACTCTCCACAGGCAACACTAACTTAATAACTCATTTTAGCTTCCTGGCTGATGAGCCAGAAGAACAGGAGGTACCCCAGGAAAATGATTGGTTGCATTTATATCCCACAAGCAGATTGGGGGAGTACATGGTTCTCCTTCTCCCCATTTTATCCTCACCACAAGCCTGTGAGGTAAGCCAGGCTGAGAGGTAGCAACTGGCCCAAGGCCACCCGGTGAGCTTCATGGCCAAGTGGGGATTTGAAGCCTGGTCTCTCAGCTCTCAGTCCGGCACCCTAACCACTATGCCATGCCAGCTCTTAATAATAATAATTTTTTATATATACCCCGCCCTTCCCGGTTCAGAAACCAGGCTCAGGGCGGCTAACAACCAATTTAAAACACTTAATTGTAAAAGCAGCATAAAATACAGTATAAAAACATGAATAACAATAAAATTCAAAATTCAGAGATCAACTTAGGGGGAATCCATCTAATAAATATTAGATAATCCCCAGGGCTAGCTGGCTGAATTAGTCCTACTTGGGCCAGCAAGGAGGCCAGGGGAGAATTAGCTGTGGGGTCTCAGAGCAGCTGATCTTCATAAAAGGGGAGGGGGAGGGAAGGGAAATAAAAGATCAGGCTGAATTCAAATTAAAAGCCAGGCGGAATAGCTCTGTCTTACAGGCCCGACGGAAGGAGGTTAAATCCTGCAGGGCCCTGGTCTCATGGGACAGAGCATCCCACCAGGTCGGAGCTATCACTGAGAAGGCCCTGGCCCTGGTGGAGGATAGTCTGACTTCCTTAGTGCCCAGGACCTCTAAACTATGATTATTCATGGACCTTTTGGTCCTCTGCAGAGCAGAACTGGCCCCCCAAGCCCCTGTCCTAGGCTACCCAGGGGCTTTGAGGCTGGAGGGAAGGAGGGTGGGGAGTCCTTTTTCCTCACCAGGGACGTGAGGGTCTTCCAAGCCGGTGGGGATTTTCCACTGGTCGACCTGCAGCTTGAGGGCGTTGACCTCATCGATGTCTCCAGGAACTCTGCGGAAGGAAAGAGAGGGACACCCCAAAGAAATAGAAGGGAGAGACTCGAAGGTTTAAAAGTTGATCCTGGGCTACTTCCAGGCACTAAGGATTCCCTCCTTTCCCCAACAAGCAGAAATGTTTCATAAGGACAGTCAGTGGGTGATGGACTAGAAGGGTCCTTGGCCTGATCCAGGTCTCTTCTTACGCTCTTATGACTCAAGAGCTGCTTTGCACACCCTGAGCTGCTTTGCAAGTAACGCAAAGCCAAACCATTGTTTAGCTTGAATGAGTGTGAGGATTCCCAGAGCCAAGGTTATGGCCTCATCGCTCCTCTCCCATGTCTCCCGCTGCTGTACTGCTGTGAGCTAAACCATGTGGTGCATCAGAATGCCATATCAACCATGGGTTGCAACAAACCTTGGTTAGAGCCTGTGGTTTGTCTGGAGCAAGGGAAATCACAACCCCAGGTTCAGACGGCGTGCTAAGCGAAACCGTGGCTTAGTTAACAGCAGGACAAGAAGAGGAGCAAATTGGCCAAAATCTCCTCTGAGGGAGGTCCACGCACTCGTGCTAAACCATAGTGTTGCTTTTTTAATCTCCTTATTTTCAACAGCACGGAAACCGTGTAAAACACATATAAAATTAAATAAAACAAGAGACGAGGTGCAGGTAAGACATTCCAATCTGGTCACATTGCCATTTCAGGATTCACTGCGATGCCAAAAACAGCCAACGAAAATGTGTTAATATTTGTTTCTTTAATCTACCCAGCGAAAGACCATGGGCAGTGGCTGTGTTTGGCTTAGGGCTGCGGGCGAAGCGGCTCACAGCCTCAGGGCCAAACCAGGCATGATGACCTGTTCGATTTCCATCGCATCTCTGAAGCTGCTATTTGCATTTCAGGAGCTGACTCCTGCAGCTCAACTCAACTCTTCTCCTTCCCTGTCTCACGCCACCCCAAGGCTGCTATTTACAGAGAAAGCGTGCCACATCTAGCTTGGTCTAATGTAGATTTTACAGCTTCTGGGCAGATTTCAGGGGACAAAGGTTCTTGCAGACCACCAGGCTTGGAGTTTGCCCTAAAATACCGTATTTTTCACTCCATAAGGCGCACCAGACCATAAGGCGCACCTAGTTTTTAGAGGGGGAAATCAAGAAAAAAAACCCGCTTCTCCCAGAGCTTCTGGGGCTGCCGGTGGGAGCCCAGGTTCCCCCCCCCAGGCCCAAAGAGCAAAGAAACCAAGACAGTAAGCGGGATCCATCCTGACTGGAGAGGTTGCGCGCGGCTAAAGAAGCCAAGACAGCGAGCGGGATGGATCCCGGCCGGAGGAGCTGCGCACAGCTATGGCAATACCCCCACCTCCCGCAAAAGCCTACAGGTGCCGCACACCCTTTAAGGAACGTGCTGCTCCCGTGGGCTTTTCTACGAGGAGGGAGAAGGGACTGCGCGGAGTTCTTGGGGGCTTTTCCTGCCTGCCTCCCCCCTGCATTTGCTCCATAAGACGCACACACATTTCCCCTTACTTTTTAGGAAGGAAAATGTGCGTCTTATGCACAAAAATACAGTAAATGCTAAAGGAGCCAGCAGACTGCAACCCGGCTCAACTGTTTGCCCCAAGGGTGCTGCCCCAGGGCAAGGTGGGCCTTACCTGAAGATGCCCTCAGTCTGGTCTCCGTTTAAGGCCAGCACCTCCTCCGACAGCCTCGTCTGCACCCATGGGAGCTGGCGGTCGGGATACCTCTCCTTCTGCATGTTCATGATCTCTTGCAGGGAGCTGCCGAACATGGAAGGGCTGAAGACGGCATTCTTGGCGTGCCGGATCTCTTCGATGTTTGGCTTCTTCAGACCCTGAAAGGGAAGGCAGTCGATGTGAGCGGAGGCACAAGACCCAGCTCAGAGAGGTGCACCTGGGCACGGGAACACAGGATGCGACCAAATCATGACGCTTCTCTTCTTCTTCTTCTTTTAAAATTTTATTCATACTTTTCAGATATATACATTTCACTTCCCCTCTTTCTGCAGTTCCTTAAATTTATTTTTAATATCTTCTGCATATCCAAATTAACTTACTCATTTGTTTCTCAAATATATATACTCTTGTATGGCTGTAGGTTATTACAATAACCCTGCCAGTGTTTTTATCTGTCTACAATTTATCCTTAAATATTCAATAAACCATTTCCATTCTTTGATAAAAAGTTTATCTTGATTTTTTATTCTTCCAGTAAGTTTCACCATTTCTGCATATTCCGTAAGTTTTTGTATCCATTCTTCCTTTGCTGGGACTTCTATCCATTTTGCAGCAAGTAACATTCTTGACGCTGTAGTCGTGTACATAAATCATTTTTTTATACAATTTAATAATAATCATATTATGGATATAAGTGAATAGGATAAGAAAGAAAGATGTTAATTGATTAAGTTAATTTTATTGGAAATTGGTATTGGAAAACTGCTACAATGAGCCACATGGAAACTCAGCTTGAGGGATCTGAGGAAGTCATTTAATAATGGTTATAAAAGTATGATTATAATAGTTAGGATAAATGTATGTATGTTTGTTTGTTTTTTATATTGTAATGTTTTTCTTTATGTTGGTTATATTTGTTACAAATTTGAAAAACCAATAAAAAATTTTGAAAAATAAAATAAAATAAATCATTTTTTATACAATTTAGGTAGTTCTGTCCCTATAATTCCCAGGCGCTTCTTACGGTGCCCTGGACATGCTGGACTTTTTGGAGAAACATGACGCCTTGTTGTTGTTGTTTAGTTGTTTAATTGTGTCCGACTCTTCGTGACCCAATGGACCAGAGCACGCCAGGCACTCCTGTCTTCCACTGCCTCCTGCAGTTTGATCAAACTCATGCTGGTAGCTTCGAGAACACTGTCCCACCATCCCGTCCTCTCGCATGACGCCTACCCGGCTGCAGACTAGAATCCTGACACCGAGGGAGTCAGGAAAGGGTCAGAGAGGAATAGGAAACGGCAAGGAGGAAACAGTGCTAGCCAGGCGTGGGAACCTTTTTCAAAGTTCCAGGACACATTTCAGCCAGGTGGAAATGCTCAAGGAAGGAATCTGCAAGCCAGCGATGGCTTGGCGGCTAGAGTGTCGGACTAGGACCTGGGAGACTGGGGTTCGAATCCCCGCTTGGCCAGGAAGCTCACTGCATGTGGCCTTGGGCAATCATTCTCTCTCGGCCTAGCCTAGGGTTGTTGTGAGGATAAAATGAGGAGGAGGCAACTATGTATGCTACCTTTGCCTTTATTTGTTTTATTTATTGAAGTTGTTAGTAGGTTTGGGGTGGGTTGTTTTTTTCCCAACTCAAAGAGACTCACGAAACAGCGGGAGATGCCAGGAGCCTGTTTAACACTTTAGTAAGTTGTTGGGAAGGATGCGGGTGGCGCTGTGGGTTAAACCACAGAGCCTAGGACTTGCCGATCAGAAGGTCGGCGGTTCAAATCCCCGCGACGGGGTGAGCTCCCATTGCTCAGTCCCTGCTCCTGCCTACCTAGCAGTTCGAAATCACGTCAAAGTGCAAGTAGATAAACAGAAGCAGGTCTTGGGGAGAGGTTCAAAGAGCCAACGGCCAACCCAGCATCTTCACCCATCCCTTTAAAAAAGACTCTTTGAGAATCTGCAATGGACCTGGGATAGCTCACTCGGAAGAGCACGAGAATCTTAATCTTAGGGTCATGGGTTCGAGTTCCAACTCGGGCAGTGCGCGGGGGTTGAGCTTGATGACGCTTGGGGACACTTCCAACTTTACGTTTCTGCAATTATTAGCTCCGTGAGCACACTCCAAATTGAGGCGTGTGAGAAAAGCCTTCTCTGCGCAGCCATCCAGCCTTTGGCCACAGAGGGGCAGCAGTGCACTGGGAGGGAAGGAGGAGGAAGAGGGAGCTGGGAAGGCTGGTTCAGAAGAGGCGAAAGGGCCGCTTTGCAGAAGGGCAGGGAGGAGAGGGTGCTGCTGGAGGAGGGAATAAACAACAAGGCCGTCTTTTGCATGGATGCAAAACCTCCAGGGTGACAGAGTGAGGGCAACACTCTCATGCAGGGAGGAGGGTCTACACAGTCTACATGAACAGAAGGAGGCAAGGACGGAAAGCGAGGTCAAGGAGTGGAAACTGGCTGCTTATAAGGGGGCGTGTGACAGCAATGAAGTATATAATATTATTATGTTTTTATATATGCTGTATGCCGCCCAGAGTGCCTGGAGAAACCCAGCCAGAAGGGCAGGATATAAATAAAATTACTACTACTACTATTATTATTATTATCATTATTATTATTATTATTAAAATAATTTTGTAGAGTTGGAAGGAACCCCAGGTCATCTAGCCCAGGGGTCAGCAAACTTACCACACCTCGGGTCGGTGTCTCCAGCGCTGATAACGCAGCGGGCCGGAGGGCGGGTGAGCGTGTGCCCATACACGGGCACACACGCTATTTCTGGCGCACTTCCGGGTTGGAGGAGCACCAGAAATAGCTTGTGCGCATGTGCACGGGCCTCCTCCGATCCGGATGTGCACCGGAAATAATAGATGTGCATGCGCAAATAATGCTTGCGCATGAGCATAAGCTATTTCCAGTGCTCCTCCGACCCGGAGGTGGGCAGCCGTGCAGTGCAGCACCGGTAAAGGTGGGTGGCGGCAGCGGGTGGCGGGAGTTGCCACGGGCCAGATAAACGAGTCTCTTGGGCCTTATACGGCCCACGGTCCTTAGTTTGGGGACCCCTGATCTAGCCCAACCCCTAGCAGTGCAGGAATCATTGCTAAATACCAGTAACCCCTGGCAGGTGCCCCCAAAACACTTCTGTTTCAAAACCTCTAAGGAAGGAGAACCTTCACCTTCCGAGAGAGTCCGCTCCACTGTTCAAATGGCTCTCGCGGTCGGAAAAGGTCCTTCTGAATGTTCTTCCTCACTACACTACAGAGAAATTAATGATTCGGAGGAGAGGCTGCCACTGCCTGCCACTGATTGGTGCCCTTGGGAGACAGGCTGGTAGGGCAGAGTGCAGGGAGGCTGACAGTAAAGGTAAAGATAAAGGGACCATTAGGTCCAGTTGTGGCCAACTCTGGGGTTGCGGAGCTCATCTCGCTTTACTGGCTGAGGGAGCCGGCGTACAGCTTCCAGGTCATGTGGCCAGCATGACTAAGTAGTTTCTGGCGAAACCAGAGCAGCACACGGAAACGCCGTTTACCTTCCCGCCAGAGCGGCACCTATTTATCTACTTGCACTGGTGTGCTTTGGAACTGCTAGGTGGGCAGGAGCAGGGACCGAGCAACGGGAGCTCACCCCGTCGCGGGGATTCGAACCGCTGACCTTCTGATTGGCAAGCCCAAGAGGCTCAATGGTTTAACCCACAGTGCCACCCGCATCCCTGCCAACTGGTTGGTGCCCTTGGGAGACAGTCTGGTAAGGCAGAGCACAAGGAAGTCAACAGTAGGGGGCAGCAGAGCAAAAGACAGCCTGAGTCTGCTACTTCCAAATTTGTCTGTCTCTTCCTCCTGGACTCGAAGGAGGAGGAAGCCGACAGGCAAGGCGACGCCCTGGGCTGGTTGGCAGCAGGTGGGGACTGGCTGGGAGCGGACTGTTGGAGGGGCAGTGTCTCACTGGACCCTCATGGACTGGCACCCCCAGGCTGCCCCTCCAGCCCAGGTGCAGAAGATCCCAGCGGCTGTGCGAGCAGCTGTCCCGCCGGCATTCTTCACATGAATACTTCTCCTCCAGGTCAGGGAGGAGGAAAATGTGAGCCATGCACCCACACGGATATCCAGGACGCAAAATGTGTGGCCTGGACCACATCCGTGGAAGAGGGATGTTGTCCTGATGTGAACAGGAAGAGCCTTTCTCATCTTCCAAAAGCAGAAACCCAGCCCTGGGGTCTCCTGCGTCCGACTCTTCGGGGTTGGGAGGTTTTAGGGGGCGGTGCCATGACTGCAGATGGTGGCCAAAGACCTAGATCAATGGTTTCCCCAAAGGGGGTGGCAACCCCCACCAGGCAGTGGGATTACCAGGGTGGCTGCTAAGGGGCAAGGGGGCAGCAGGGGGCGCTGGAGGTGCAAACGACTATTAGACTTTGAAAAGCTGGCATTGCCAGTTCATCGGTTTTTCAGAATTCAACTAAATAAGTGTGAATTGGGTTTTGTCCAAATCATTGCCACTGCTCTGAATTCAACTGTGTTATCGCCTTCCTTAGTGGGCCGGGGAAAATACTCTGCTGAATAATGCTTTTTATAAGGTAGGGGGCACCGGGGATGAGTGAACAAAGCAGGAGAGGGTCCAAAAAGGTTTCGGAACCGCTGAGCGAGAGCAAGCTCCTTGGGGGAGCAGGTGGGTCTGCGCAAAAGGAGGAACCCTCCTGCTATCCCACCGCTCCTCTCATGTGCCCGCCCAGCCAGGCCCACGTGCCAACATTCGGCTCTAGTTTAAAATTTCATCCTCTTCCATTATTGATGGGGAAAGACAGGCGTCCCTGGCATTTCGAGAGAGCACACATTGCTTTAACCCTTTGCATGCTGCAAACACCACCTCTGGGTGAAAAACGGCAGAGGAGCTGCCCTGATTTCAGCTCCACAGGGTGCTAATTCCTGCTGGTCTCGAATTGCTCTCTCCCCCTCCCGCCAAACACACACACACACACACACACACACACGGCACAGCAACTGCCTTTGCCAAAAGCCTCTTGCATCTCCCGTGGCCATGCAAACAGCCATGCAGCCGCCACCTTGCCCCCAGAATTTTCTGCATTGCCTGTGTGGGGTGGGTGGGTAGCCATGTGAGTTGCCCCCCTCCAGAAGCAGATGCAACTTGTTTCTGTTGCACTTATTTGGGCGGCAAGCTC